GCCCCAGGACCAGCTCATCTCTACTGGCCTCATGGTGGTTGGCCCTTGCGTACTTTGCTTTATTTTGCGGTCAGCTCTGTCTGTAAAAAAATGTTAGTTACACTTTAGCCAACATTTCTAGTGTTTGTAGTGGGAGAGATTTCCAATTTTCAGTTACACAATACTAGTTGTTAAATAAGTTTTTGAAGTGTTAAAGTCCTCCTTGGAGATTCATATCATTAGCCTGCCGAAAGGCCAATACTTTCACCCTTTTTGAAAAATTGCACATTAATATCCCTCTTGACTTGAGTTTACCCTAAAATTTTTGGTTTGCATATTATAAATTAGGCAGCTCTCTTTGCTCAAGAATAGTCAGGAGCCTTTCTCTTTTTTAAAAGTTTTTTTTTTAAATTTATCTTTAGAGGGGAAGGGAAGGAGAGAGAGAGAGAAATATCAATGTATGGTTGCCTCTCATGCATCCCCTGCTGGGCACTGGCCTGCAACCCAGGCATGTGCCCTGACTGGGAATTGAACTGCAATTCCTTGGCTTGCAGGCCCACGCTCAATCCACTGAGCTACACCAGCCAGGGCAGGAGCCTTTCCTGAGGCCTCTGCTTTAACTGGTCACTAGGATAGTGTGTAACCACAGGGCAGGGAGAGCAGACCTGCAGTTTTAAACAAATGCCAATACTACTTACATATGTTAAAAAGCGTAGAAGAAAAGAAATAACCCTATTTTATGTCATTTAAAAGGACAATTTGCTCTGTTAAGAGGTAACACTTATGTTTCCAGACAGTAGAATAAACTCTCTGAGGGAGGGTCAAATGACTTGCTGCTATACCTTAAATTAACCATATGGCTTTGCCCACAGCTGGTTCTCATTTACGGAGCAGTTGATGATATGGAAAGTTTAGAATACTCTGTACAATATTGTTATTAGTCAAAATAGCAAATAGTCAATAGTCTACCTATAACCTGCTGGTTTCTCATGCTATTTATTAGGTTGAGACTCATGCTTAGAATTTACTGCACAGAGAGCTAGAGTTTTAAGAACAATCCCATAGAATAACAACTCTTTTAATTTTGTGAGCTTAGCAATTCCTCCCTTTGGGGAACAAATGTGGTCTGAGTGTATCCTAGTCTCTACTCTAGTAACTGTAATAATTTTAGGAATTATCCTTGTAAGCTCTACCAGTAACAACAGAACACAAGGAATTCTGATGGCATAAATCTTTCTGAAGGGTAATTTTTCAATTAATATGATTAATCGGGTGTCCATTAACTAGAATCACACTTATGGAGATTTATGAAGTCTATAAATTAATGATTTCAATATACACTGATTTCAAAGGTGTTACAATGGGAGATAAAGCTCATGCAAAGATTAATTAAAAAGAAAGAAAAAAATGATGCCTCCATCACTCCCCCGTACAAAAGGAAATGCGGCTCAGAATCTACCCTGACGGCTCCGCAAGGCAGCTCCCGTTGGGGGAAGTGCCAGTCCTGTTTCTCCGAGTGTGTACCGGAAGGTTGCTTGTGCACATGAGGGATCCCAAATCCGTCTCTGCCTCCTGGTTACACGTTATCACCTAAGCCCTCAGCCCGGATCAGATTCCTTTTTCATAAACTCTCACGGCATCTCTCGTTTTCCATTTGGAACTCTTATCCCACTTACTAGTGTCCAACCTCCCGAGTAACATCGTTTCCAGGAGAGCACACTGTCACAGTCTGAAAACTCTGGGGACCTGCAGACCAGTATTGGTCAAGTCCAGAGACCACCAGCGCTGGGTCTGTGTGGCGTATTTTCTCCCCTGCCACGTGGGCGTTCATACTCCTATTCCTCAGGAGCTTGTGAGGCACTCAGTTTACAAAGGCAGGTAAGATGAAGTCCTTGTGGTCGAGGTGATGTATCCCAGCCTCCCTTTCATCAGGTGTGACCCTGTGACTAAGTCCCTTCACAGGAAATGTGACCAGAAATGGTGCATGTGTTTCTCTTGGCAGCCAACCCTTAAAACCCCCAGGAATGCTGCGCCGTGCACTTTCCCCCTTTGACTGCTTGGGATGAAAAGTGACCACAGCCACCTTGGACGACATGTGTTAAAGGGTCCCAGAAAATCTTGCCTAATGCAGAGCCACTTTCGGCTAGACTCCTGAGGTGGATGGATGCAGTGAAAATGAAATTCTTGTTCTAAAAAGTCCTGAACCTGGGGAGTCTGTTAACCATCTAGACTAGCCTAGCAGTTACCAACCTCAAGAAGTTCACGTTGTAAGAGAGACTCTGTTACTATGCAACATGTTCCAAAGAGCCTCCAAGACTGAAGTAAAGCAGAGGCTCACATTTCCCACCTCGGTGTAGTCGACTTCAACAGGAACAGGTTCCGCTCCCACCAAGGATGGACGGCCAAGGGCGTGTAGGCAGACACTGCCTGACGGACATTTTCACTATGTAGACAAGTATGTATTCCGAGCCAGTTTCTCTGAGTGAGGGAGGGACTTGGTGGTATGGAAATTTTATCATTTTACTACACATCCTCCTCCTTTTTTTCAAGTGGAGAATTTCATGTCCATTATTTTAGTCCCCAAGGGTGTCTGCAAGAGCCACCTCGCCTCCACTTTGCTTTTCCACTGCTGTAGCGACAGGAAGGGTTAGGTCAGACAAGTCTTCAGAACACCCGCGGAAGCCCGGTCAGCCCAGGGCCGTGAAGGCCAAGAGCAGTCTCACCTGCCGCCTGCTCCAACCCTGGCCGCCCCGGGACCTCAGGACAGAGGGAGGCCAGAGTGGTGAGTGGTTTCTAGACGCAATGGGCCATGACAAGGAGCCCCCTTGATGGTTCTTTGGTTTTGTGCCCTTTCCAGACCAGCTAAAGGTGCACAGTTTGGGTTTCACCAAGCCAAGCAGGAAAGAGAAAAAATGAACAGACTGGACTGAGGATGGACACAGAGGAAAACTAGCTTTATATCAGAGTAATATTTTTACTGCCTAGGCAAATGACTTTTGTGAAAATACTGATATAAAAAGCAATAGATTGTTTTGTTTTTACTTAGCTATCATTATACTTGGGTTTTAAGGCAAGCGGGAATTTACATAAAACGAAAACTTGCAGGATCGGGGATGATGTACAGTTTTGTGATTACGGTTCTTTGCAATTCAGGCTACGTGCTGCCAGAGACTCCTGTCTCAATTCCAGTTGCTGTAGATATTATCTGGGGAAGCACAGAAGGCATGGATGGAGAGAGAAATAACTATCACGGGGCTGAATAATCGAGACTATTACAAAAGAATACAAATAATAAATTTATGACATGGAAATACAAAGAAGTATTTTCAGTATAAAACTTGCGTTTGCACAACAAAGCTCAATCGTAACAAATACAATGAAACTATATGGGAAACACATCAATGGTACATGAGTCGCATATACAATGTAGCAATTCACATGAAACTGGACTGGGAAGAAGCCGTCTGAAGGCCGCGCGCTGGTCGGAAGCTATCACAGGCCTTTCAAGGGAACCTCCTGGTTCAGGAAAACTATCCAAAAAGCTGTCACGGGTTCATCGGACTTGATGATACGTTTGGTTTTTCAAGATGAGCTAGAATAATCCTCAAGGGGATTGAAATGTAGGGCTGAGGTAAAGAGATACTAAACAAGGATCTTTTCTGTTGGCACAAAAGATTTAAATACTTTCCAAAATGCTCTTGTATTTGATGTGGTGGGCATACCGCACATTTATAACACTGGCAGAAATAACTCTTCAACACTGAGATAAAGAACAGGTAAATATTGATACGTCAGCAAAAGCACCCATCTCCTCTACTTCTCTCACTTCATGACGCTTTAAGGTCATACGCTGAAATCCCAGGAACACTCTGTCCTTTTTTGTGTGTGACTCTTTCATGTTTCCCATCCGGGAAAGCAATGTACTGGGTCTACTTGTAGGACTCAGTAATAAAACTTCACATGTTAAGTACTAGCCCTGAAGGACATTGTATCATCTACTCCAAAGGTATTACAGGATGCTGGCTCAATAGGCTTGCACACACCTGAATCACACAGCACCCCCATAGCTGTCTACAAGGGGTTTTGGCCACAAACAAGTCAAAATTTGGCTTTCTCCAGTGTCAAAAGCCAAACTGGCCGAAGCTTACTCTTTACTACAGGAGTTACTTCGAATTTCTCTGCGTAGTGGCCTGTGGCCAGCAGGGGTCCCCTGCATGAGGTTACATTATAAATGTGAGCCCATGCAGCCAGCTGAATGAGCCCTGCTCTCACCCACTTAGTGCTTATACTTCAGAGGGAAAGACATGGGTTTGGCTCTGTGTTGCCTCAGTGTGAGATCTCCAAGCGAAGCTGGGAGAGGGTAGCAGGACTGTCACAAGATGAGGAAGAAGAGAAACTATGAGAAAGGCAGCCAAGTTTCAACCTTTCCGTCTAATCAGTGAAAAGCGCGCTGCCACTACTCCCACACAGAGCAGTGCACTCCCATTTCAAAACCCAGTGGCTTTTGATTAACTTGCCTAATTTTGATTTATACAGAATACTATTTTGTATTTATAACTGACATTGCAATGAGAGGAGCATGATTATTTTTTACTCTTTATATCCAGATCATGTTTCCATGTATTTGACTTCCAGAATAAATGTATTAGCTCTAAGAAATATCCTTAAAATTCTATTGAAATATTAATCTAATTTCAAATTATAGATTGACTTTTTCTCTTTAGTTTTACATTGTCAGTACTCAAAGCAAAGCTAAACGCTACAAGCAGAAATAAATGAAATTGGATGTATACTTATCAGGCCATTTGGTAAAAAACCCATCTTTTGCCAGGAGATTAAACAGGAAAAATGGTTTTCATAGCTAAGCATTTAAACTTTTAATGAATTTTCTTCTCCAAGATGTTTTTCTCCCCTCCAACTTTTTAAAACTATTGCTGAGGAAGAAAATACATTAAAAATGTATATATAATTAGGTACTATTTGGGGTCCAAGTGGAAATGGGCCTTACATTTCTAAAAGTAGATTTTATTCTTCAATCCCTCTTCTCTAGTCAAATGTTCCACTTCAAAAACTTATTTTATTATCAGGGAAGAGAGATTATACAGAAAAAGCAAGTTGAATCCTTTCTTATTCTATAACCCTGAACTTGAACTTTGAAAACTTGCTCCCACTGATTGTAAGGGAAGGAAATCCAGTGACAGGAGAGCCCATCCACCTCAGCAGTGACGCAGAAGAGCTTCCTGGAGCCAGGGAGCTGGAGCTGCCACCGTCAGAAAGATGGCACTTCAGATGAAGGTGTGACAGAGACCCACCTGGCGTGAGGGAAAGGAAACGAACACAAGTCGAGACTTTCCAGTCCCTCAGTTCTCCCATGGCCTCAGACTGGAAGTCTTGCTGCTGTCTTTCAGAGAGAAAGACTAGCGGTGACCCTTCTGGGTGTGCGGCAGGGGGAGGGGGGCAGGGTGTAGGGGGAGGGCCCCAGCCGTCTTACTGAGGGCCTGCAGGAGAGGGTCAAAGGGTCAGGAGGACAATGAGATCTGACACCCTGGGCCCCGCAGGATCTCCCCAGCTTTACAGAGGCGGAAACTGGTCCCCCTTCATGAACCTCACCATGCTGTGGGATGAGACTCTCAGGTAACTGAACTGGAAAGATAAAAAATAACCATCTCCAAAAACTGGATTCTCACAGAACAGAAACTCCCTTTGTGTGAGGCTTGCAACAGGCTCACTCGAGTGCAGGGCAGCAGGTTTCAGAACCTCCTCCTCTTCTCGGCGACCCGGTGCCCAGAGTTCCTAAAAGGACGGGGCTGTCTGAACAGCCAGATAAGAGTATACCGCACATCTTTTTAAATGACAGAAACTTTTGACTTTCATAAACCTGCACTGCTTATTATTCTGTCCAGACCCAAGGGGTATAGAATCAACTTTAGTCATCTTTCATAAGCTGGGAATCTAATTTTATGAATTTATTCTCAGACATAAATCAGGTAAGGCAGAAGTAGATGGATGGATCTTTTTTAAAAGAACTTGGGCCCCCTGGGTACTTTTAGCAGACTGAGCATTGAGAGATTTACAGGGATAAAATTCTTTACAAGATTAAGGAAGAAGGAAATGAAACCAAATCTGTCATTTCCAGATACTCACTTTCATTAATTCTTTCAGCAAAAGGACATTGGTGAAGGAAAACCAGAAATGGTTTTTCAGTTGTTAAAGTGGTTAAAGACCAGGGAACCCTGGAGACGGAGACAAAACAACAGTGTTTGCTTTTCTTCACAAAGCTACCTTGTACCAGCAAGACTTGGGGGGGCTTCTGGGTGGGAAAATAAAAATAGTGCTAGAAGGACTTTTTTGAAAAACCTTGCATTTTGGCAAAAACCAGTAACACTCTTTCCTGTGAAATCTACTTGCTTCGAATCTCCAAAGGTTACAACACGGCACTGGAGAGGCTTGGCCGTCACAGCTTCGTGGCCGCGGTTCCTGAGGACCGAACCCTGCGGCTGAACCAGCGCAGCTGCCGTCTGCGCCCTCTCCCTGCGGCAGAGTGAAGAGCCTGGGGGGCCTGCAGGCCCGCGGTGGGGGTGCTGGAGACCACTCAAGGTAAGAAGTAAAACATGATAAAGCAGATTCAGAAGCAGATGACTTCCAAGCTCATTTCTACAACATCCTCTCAATTTCCATCTCTCCAAAAGGGACCCTGTACTATGATGCCTGATGTTTCCTACAGTTTGACAAAAAAAATACACATTGAACGCAAGAGGAAGCACGGCTTCTGCTACACGTGCGACGGTCCAGCGGCTCTGCTTTCACCGTGGGGCCGGCTGCCTTGTCTGCGAACGGTGCTCCTGCCGGCTGCAGTCAGCTCCCCGGGGCCAGACGCTCCAGCCCCAAGCAGGCAAACCTGTGCCCATCCCAAGCCCCCGAACGTATTCTAATACCACATATCCTGATTGTCAGGCCTGAAAGATTCTCATGTATGTACATTAGGCTTAATGCCATGAGACCACATGACTGGAGATTGTTTTTGTTTTTGCTTTTTTATAAGAGAAGCTTGCTCACTCAGGAGACAATGAGGATTTGGTTTAAACGGAAGACCAGGAGGAAGCTGACATACTCCTCTGCTCTATATCCTTGCGAACACTGCCTTGAAACCTACGGCCCCTTCTCCGCGTGCTGACTTTTGCGCTGCCTCAGTGTGTCTTCGGCCGCCTCCGTGCCCGGTGAACGGGGCTGCTCAGGGGCACCTCCCTCGGTCGCCTCAAGTTCGACTTCCTCCCGGGCCTCCCTCGGAGGCCCCGGGTCCTGCGTGTCACCCGTCTCCTCATCCACACCCGCAGCCAGGTTGTCCTCCTCCTCTTCTTCCTCCGCTTCGTCCTCATCGCCGAAGTCCTCCTTCTCCTCTTCGTCATCTACAAGGCTGTCCTTGTTTTCTTCTTCATTTGAATCATCTTTTTCTTCCTCCACATCCTGCAGCTGGTCGGCCCTATGAGCCTCCTGGGACTTCTGATTCTGCTCTGTAGAGGGAAGAGAAGGGAACGGCCTCTGGTCACTCAGCAATGAAACAACTGTGTTTGCCTGTGAAATAAAAAAAGGGGGTGGGCACATGGTGGTTTTCTCCATATTGAAGCCACTATTACACAGGACGGACCACGGGTTGGCGGCCCAGCCCCGTCCAGCGTCCAGGGCTTCCCCATCCCTCTCAGGAAGATTTCTCTGACCGTGTTGACTCGGGCAGAGCGTGTGGTCAGGGAGGGCAAAGGCCCTGCACGCTTTGTATTCTATACCTTTCAGAAGACTCAGCGACCCACTCACTGGCCATGGTAATCCCTTCACCGTGACAGGCTGGGCCAATCAGAGTTCCCGGCAGTTCTGGCCAGAGTCAGGAGGAAAGGCTTTCTCTTTCCACAGCGATCGCTATTGTGGTGACAGCCAGTCATTCAGTCACATGGAAAGAGAGATCTAACATCCCTTGGGCTGGGCTTGAATCTAGAACCTCCCTGGAGTGTCAGTTATGTATGCTAATAAATCTTTCTTTTTTTCCCCCTAAGTTACTTTAAATTGGCTTTCTGTTACTTCTAAGAGTTCTATGGAACATAACAGACCTTTTAATTATAGCTACCTTCCTGATTACAACATTTCAATCAATGACGTACTGCGGATACCACAGCAGACCCTTAAGATTATAATGGAGATGAAAACCTCCTGTCCTAGCCCTCGTGGTGCGGCAGCTGCACTGTGTCACCTGTGTGTGTGCTGACGCCAGGTGAACAAACCCGCTGTGCTGCTGGCTGTGGAGACGCACCCCACGCAGCGCCTGCAGTGGACTGTGTCCTCTGCGCATGCGTAGGTGGCTCTACGCGATGTCTGCACAAAGGCCAGGTCACACCTGACAGTGTATTTCTCACAAGCCCCGTAAGTCCTCCCGTGCTTCAGTGGTGGTGCGCTGCTGTATCTGTGGAAATCTTAAAGCCTTGACAACTTCAAAATCAAAAAGAAATATAAGCTTATTTCAACTTTAACATAAAATTGGACAATTACAAAGTCTCATAAAAGTCTTCATGCCAAGTTTCAAAAATAGGATTGAAAACATGCACCTTCAGTGCTCCTTGGTCCCAGTGTGGAACAATACAAAGATTTCAGAATACGTCTTATAAAGCACTTTGGATAGTTACTGGCACACAGCAGAGACTTAATAAATGGGAGTTCCCCTCCCTCCTTTTCATTCCAGTCCTGAATGAAGAAAAAGGGTGTCAACTGACTCATACGCTGAAAGGGGTAGAGAAATTGCCGCAGTGAAACATTCCTTAATTCAAGAGAGAAAGTGCATTTTTGTTCAAGTCTGTCTACAGAACACATTTCAAGGAATCAGGTAGCGGTGGCGGTTTGGTGACTGAGCAGGTTGGGGAATACCCACCACCCACATGGGCACAAAAGGGCACGGCACAGAATTCCACACACACTGCCGCACGAGGCTGTCGTACTTACCGGCGTGTTCGGACAGATGCCTGGGGACTGACCCACAGAAACATTCTGAGATCAACACCAAGACCTGGAGGGGGGAAAGGTGATTTTACAGTGAGGAGACAGGACTTTGATCACCGAGGAACCTCAAAATTAAGACTAATGGACACAAGCCTCCACTCTGTCTTTCATTAGCTACGTGGCCCAAGAAGCCACTTAACTGCTCCCTCAGCTGCACTTTCTCTTTAAAAAACGGTGTGGGCTAGCTTATCATCAAGGTCTGTTTTATGTCCAACAGTGCGTAATTCTGCTACAAAGTCTTTCTGTTCAAAAACTGGAAACAGAACTCTTTCATTCTCTCATATTCTCTCAGTTCTAGATCGATTTTTCTGGCCTGGGGAGCCATTCCCTTGGAATGTGTCACTTTCTGAGCCACTCAGAATGGCACTGTTTAATAGCAGGTACATAGGAGAACGGTTCCTTCCTCTTCCTCTTCCCTTCCAGGCTTTTATTTTCAGGTTTCAGCTTTTGCCCAGGGAGGTGCAGGTGGACGTGCATCTAACTGAGGGGAGCAGATGGATTTACTGCCTTTCACGGGCAGTGACATGCTGAGTGGGAGGCTCTGAGCTAGCCACTGGTCTCGCCACTGGTCACCAGCATGTAGAAAAATAATCTACCTAAGCAGCAACATTTCAACGGTGTCTCTATCACCTGAGATGGAGACCAGACAATAGAGGGGAAACATTGTGTTTTCCACTGCCTTTCTCCTTGTCTAGAGCTTTGCTTTCCTAAGCTTCAGAGCAGAGTCACTGCAGCATAAAATGATGCTGCCAGAGTGATTTGCTACTAGGGATCTTTCCATATCGGTTTAAAATCCAAAATATATACTTGATCTCTAAAACCAAGCCCTTTGTTTTCATGTGAAAACAACATTTAGTAAAATATTTCAACCATCACTAGGTTCAGTCAAGAAAACAAACAAAAATCAAACCAGCAGTCTTGCTTTACTTCCCTCCCATCTTTTAAAATTAGGCAGAAATAGGAAACTTAATAGTCAGGCTTACAGGAAACAATGACTTGATCAGGAAATTCTTTTCCATGAAACCATCCTGCCGCTCACAGCCACTACACAGGTTAAAGGCCACGAACACTCTGAGAGGGAAGGAGAACCTCCAAGGTCAGCAGGACCCAGCCTCACCCGGCTGCGGGCCCAGGCTCTACTTTCAGCCCCAGCCCATGGCAAAGATGACTCAGGGTGCTAACCTGCACCCCAGGAGATCTCACACAAGACAAAAACTCTAGTCTTGTGTGTTTTAACACATTGGAGCGGCAGAAAAGGCATTTTAAGTAGAGATATGTGTATGCTATTCTATGAAATTGTATTAAACAGTTTGAGTCTATTACTATTTTGAAATTATTATTTTGTTTTTAAAAAGTTCTCTTCCCAACTTCTTTTTCCCTCCAACTTCTTATAAAGAAGTAATATATCACTTAATCACTTGAACAGTCTTGAATCAACTCTCTTCTTCCTTTGGGTCAAGCCTCTAATAACCCTCCTACACTGATTATTTTAATCTAATTTTCCAAATAAACATAGGGCATAGGCAGGCCTGATGTTATTTCTTGAGCTTAAATTCAAACTCAAAGATAAGATTTTAAAACTCTTTATGCTGAGAAGACTTCTCAATGGTCTTGCAATAAATAGGCTCACGCTCAACCTATAATCCCCATAACTCCAGCTCAGAATCTTCTAGAATCTCATGCTGTTCCCTCTACAAGAACCTCCTACTTGTGCGGCTCCAGAATTCACCACAAGAAAAACCTACCACTAGACAAGTAAATGGGGGAAGTACATTTACATCCAAAGTCAAGTTTATATAGAAATTCAAACTCTTTCAGGCTAGAGCATTAGAGACATGTTAATAGCAGTAAGATTAATGCATCCGAATGAACTGTTCCTAGGACCTAATGAATGACATCGAAGCCCTACCCCGACCCATGAGATTAGCATCAGCGGTCGAATCTCAGATACAAACCAGAACAGGAAGTAAGCGTGCTCATGGCAAAGTAAAATTGAGTCTCCTTGGCTCCCTGGACTTTGTCATACTAACTTAGGACTTGCTATAAAGACAACTGCTAGTTTTTAACCTTATTTTTAAAAACACTTCGCTGAAGAGCCAAAATTCATTATAAAATGTAAGGACAGACATTTAAGATAACCTTAACTAAAAGTCCATCCCTTTTATGTAAATTTTTACTAATCATCACTTATTCCTATCATATAGCATTCAGACGCTATGTGACTGATATGTAGTATAAGGGCTCCATCAGGTCGGCACTGTGTGCGATCACAGCTGACGGGCTGTCCTGGAAACTATCAATTAAAATATGGTCTCTCTCTCTTCTTCCATCATTGCCTAGCATACATCTTCATAATATTTAAGGGACAGGATTAGGAGCAATGATTCAATGAATTTTCCATTATATCTCAAATTACCATTGAAAGCAAATCAGACAAGCAAATACTACCTAACTGCTTAAATTACACACAAAATTATGTTCATTTATGTGCTTTTTCCTTCTTGGCTGCTCCACAGTTTTTCATGAAACAGAAAAAGAGACTGACATTCTTTCTTACCAGACCCATGAAAAGGCCAAGGATCAAGGTGGCCATGATGAAAACGACATAAGAACACCAAGCAGGAATTCCAAGGGTCACTGTGAAATAGTTGTGAAGATGCTGTAATAACAAGAAAAAAATTACTTATAATAAGGACCAAAAGTGTTTAAATCTGCTTCTTTAGCTATACTTCTAATCTACTTCTCAAGCCTGCAAATTGTTTCCACATATAAGAACTCCCACAAAGGTGATCCTGTTGTTTATGCCTTCATGATTCTTCAAGGACTAGTCAAACTTTACAACACTGAGAATCTGAGAGTAATACTCAAGGTTATACCTAGTGTGAGATATATTTCTTTGGAGTTCATGACCTGATAGAACTCTGGTAGAAGGAGATGCCAGAGTGCCTTCTTCCATGATGACAGATTTTTTGGTCACGCTCTGCTAATAATTATATATTCCTCAATTTTTTACTCATAATTTGGCACACATAAAAATGTAACTTCTTGGGCCTTGACCAATTTTTAAGTAGAACTAAATATACTACTTACAGAATATCAACCATTTCAATGTCTCCATACTTCCTTTGTCTAGTTGATACTGATTTCTCTTTCCCTATCCATCCTTAACAACTTTCCTAAATCATCATAAAAGCTAAAATGTAGTATTACACAGAAGGTTTTCCCAGATAATTCATTCTGAGGAAGTGAGATTTCATCAGGCTTTGAGTACAGTGTATGTCCCTTTATGCCTACTGTTCCCTGAACTCTACTTGATACCAAAGACCAACAGAGAATGAAGAGATGCAACCTGAGCTAGAAATCAGTTCCATGCTGAAATTACACAGAAATTACAGGTATGACCTGGTAGTCTGGAGTCGAAGCCCACTGATATGTGGACGTTCAGGAGCCATGCTTCCTCAGGATGATGCTTCAGTCATCATTGGTTTTAGGTCCCTACTGCTTCAAAAATGGCCACTTGCTATGATCCCAGCAATTACTGGGCACACAGTGAAATGGAGCCACATGGATTGTCATCAGCTGGCAGAGAAAGCAAGTGAATGACTTGTCCAGAACAGATGAGGCAGCTAAACATGAGTGTAAACCCTATTTTACTTTAATGTTGTATTTCTCGAAATCTAATAAGTTACTCAAGTATCTCCCCTTGGTTTCTCAGTTCATAAATGTCAATACAATTAAATAATATATTTCATCCTGGCTTAAGTCTGAATGATAAACAAATAAAAAAGCTTATTCAACTAATTAGAAAAATCTGAGATCTCTTCTCTCCAATTTCTTATTCAGCTGAATAGATAGTTCCAAAGACTCAGCATGTATTTTGAACACTGACACGTAATCAAAGTGTTTAATAAATAATTGCTAGGTAAGTAAAAGATACCAGCAAATCCTCAAACTACTGATAGGAAATGCAAACAACCTCTGATTTGTAAAACTTTCAACTGTTCTCTGATGACTACATTGGTCATCACTCTCTGTTCAGCCAGGACAACTGTTTATTAAGAATAATCCAGCCCTGGCTGGTATGGCTCAGTGGGTTGAGTGCTGGCCTGTGAACTGAAAGGTCTCAGGTTCGAGTCCAGGTCAGGGCACATGCCTGGGTTGTGGGCCAGGTTCACAACTGGGGGTGTGCTGAGAGGAGGCGAAATAAATATTGGGATATTAAAATGTTCTTTTGTTCATACCCTTTTCAACAGAAGTTCTAAAATGTACTGCACAGGTCCCTCCTTCAGAAAAGTCTATGTATTGAACACAGTCTATGCTTTTTTTGATGACTCAGTGCTATCGTCAGGGTTCATCTCTGAAATGTGCCGGAGAATCAGGAGACAGAGAAAGCAGTCAGCCTCTGTGCCGACCCACCAATGTAGGAATTCTGGGGCTTGCTGTTTAAATAATATCTGCCCACTTGCCTTACTCATATGGTTGGAATGAGTAATGCACAGTTTTCAGTCCTTCTAGACAGTATCCTTGCCTTTCCTGTAAAATAAATGACTTAAGTAACCCTCAAGAAACTTTCTATTTTCTAGAATGCAGTAAATGATTTGCCTCTGCGTCATGTACATTCTGACTCACATTTCTTAGCACAAACTATTCTCCACCTTCAATGTTCTTATATCAACTTAGACTTTAAAGGATTTGTTTGAGCTTCTTTGAGAAACCCTGACAGAACTGTGGTCTTTTAGGTGATTATTAGTACAGTCTCATTAATCAAGCTGTATTTTCACAACTTAATCAAGTTGTATTTTCACAACTATTTATATATATATATAAATATATTTATAAAGATTTATTTATATATTTACTTTATCTGACTCCACAATGGTTTTAGAGTGCCTTAAGAGTGTTGAGGTTCTTGCCCTGGCTGGGTAGTCCAGTTGCTTAGAGCGTCATCCTGATATAAAAAGGTTGAGGGTTCTATCCCTGGTCAGGGCACATACAAGAATCAACAAACAAATGCATAAGTAAGTGGAACAACAGATCGATGTTTCTCTCTCTCTCTCAACAGAAAATTTGTAAATTAAAAAAATTTGTTTAAAGAGTGTTGAGTTCTTGGTTATAGATACCTGATGTTTATATATGGTTTTATATATATATATATATATATATATATATATATATATATATATAGGACGTAGTTTTTTTATCATTTTTGGATAGCATTAGAGCAGAATACACAAGGACATTCCAACCAGTGGTCCGGTGAAAAAGGAATGGAGGCGGGCCAACATTCCTCGGATCCATTCATGGATCACAGGTAGGGCCTTCCCTCCCCACGGAGGCCGGAACTGCCTCTGAAACCTGAACTACTTACTGAACCAATGCAGGTCCGATTAGGTACTGCCCACAGCACCCACCCATCCTGCTCAGTGCAGGGTCTCATTCAGAGCTGGGATGGCCCATAAGGGCAGAGAACCTTTTGAATTTATATCCCACCTATGTCACAGGATATACTGAGGGAGTTTGACAAGCCCTACATTCTTCTCGAACACCGATCCAAATCCTCAAACTACGTTCTCTGTGTGGCAGCAGCTCAGGGACTTTTCCAGGGATGGCCTCGAGGTCACTTCCCCATCCACGTCACACCCTCCTGAACACTGGCAACAAGACACACCCTTGCAGCCCCCGTCAGCACTAAGAGATAGAACTAATGGATGTGTATCATCTCGCCTTCATATTGTTCTAGATATTAGGTACCAGAAAAAAAAAAGCAGTAAACGAGACACCACTATCTATCTAGGGGAATAAAATACCAGGGATATTTTAGAATTTTAAAATATACTCTTACTATTTTCCAGTCTAAATACTCATGGCCTTTAATTCTCATCATGTGACATTTACAAAGTATTAGATCTCCTCGAACACACAGATTATCCTCCCAAAGATTCAGCACAGCTTATTGTAGCTAAAATTTCCCATATGCCTGCACCAAAAAGTAACAATGACTAGAGAGGAGTTACTATATTAGCTCAGTGAGCAGCACACATTCACCAAATCAAATAAAATAATATTTAAATACATTCAACTTCTAAATCTAGTTAGCAAAAGTACACATTGTAAACCACCATAGAACCCAATCTTAAGACTGCCATCAGACTTTGTTAAAAAATAAATGAATAAAAACAAAAATTCCTTGTTGCCTAATCAGAGTGGAGAAGTAAAATAATGATGACAATAATGAATGGCAATAACTAACAAAAACAGTTATCAAGTATGTACTAGGTGCCAGGTTCTACCCTAAGCATTCAGTGTTCTAATAACAACAGTTTACACAGGAAGAACAAATGGGTTCAGAGACATACACACAAGGTGGAAAAGAGAAAAGACAATGCTTCCCTGCATCACTGCAGACAACTGCAAAGAGAGATGAGAAGCCAGGGAGACCAGAAAGTCTCTCCAAACATTTGCCACAGACAAAAATCTCAACCCCAGATCCCTGACCCTGACTGTGGTGCCGCTTTTAACAGTGTTGCTTCCCAAGGTCAGCCTCCTGCCCATCACTCTCATGACATTACCCCCACCTCCTTTAGACTAACATTTTTCATCAAGGTGAGTCACTTTGTAAACGCTGAATGCAATGTAAAGAATACGACTACTATAAATAGAAAGTCAGTATCAGCTCTCTATCTAGAAGATGTCTACTGAGACTGCCCTAGCTGTCCATCTTCCAGGCCTCAGCGACTCCTGTGAGGCAGGCAGACGTCAAGACTACACATGAGGACAGGTATTATAGCTAAAGTGACAATGACTTCTTCTATATGTCCATATAAAAATTAAAATACATAGGGGGATACCTCCATGACTAGGATGGGAAAACAACTTAAATATTGGTGACGGAAAGAACACTTGAGATAATCTACCCTTCCCCGACACTGTGGTACAAATTGCCTATCAAGGATTTCTAGGATTCCAGCTGACAGCAGGAGTTCACAGGATCTGGCTTATAAATTATTCAGAGGACTTCCTCACCGCAAGTGTTTACCCAAGCAACAACATATGGGAGGCTGGAGTAGATTTAAGAGAGCCAAATGCAGAATCAGACGAACGCCCCGGGTTCACAGGCACTCAGCTCTGTGGCTGTCTCCTCACCGCATGGTCCCGACACCCTGAGGAGCAGCTTTCATTTCCGAAATACCAGGCCCAGCAAGCATGGCTTCACTCCTAACTCCTCAGGCAGAAACCCAAGGAGTTTGAGGAATCAGTAAGTCAGTGGGCTTTGGTCTTCAAGATAGGGCTCATTTTCGTTTTATCTTTTTCACACAGAAAAATTAGAAATGCAAAGAAAGATAAAAATGTAAAAAAATCAGCCATAATTTCATTATCAGCAACAGCCATTATTGATATCTGATGTATCTCTCTAGCTGTTTTCCTACACACAAATAAAAACTCTATATAAACATAACACTCTACATAGTTTTATCTTTACCCGCTGAATAATACGCCATTTTCTCTATGGAAATATTTACATTAACCAACTGCCCACCCAGGGGAGACTTTTGTTGTGGAAGCCTGATTCCCGGGATAAAGGAGACTGAGGATGGGCATCCACAACCTTCCCTCACTGGCATTAGCCACTCTCCTCCCTTCTTCCATGTTTTTATCGTCTTTCTCAGAGACTTTTTACTCTTTTATTTCTAGCCCTATTTTCTCTCTCAGTCTTTCTTTCTCCTCCATCACATGCTGTGTTTCTTCTGTTCACTGTTGACCTGGTTACACTACGGTATTTTTACTGTCTAGACATGAGTTAAAAATGGGTTATATTCCCCACAATCATACATCCGGCCCTGATGAAAGGATCTTGGGCAAAGAGGAAGAGCCAGTTAAATAAGCTACCTGAGTGGGCTGGGTGGTCAACCTGGACTGTCTCAGTAAGTGGTTCTGTAAGAGCAACATGTTAAGACTGCGCCTAGCGGTTAAAGTACTGGGTTGGCCACAAGGTCTGTTTCATTTTCTGTGTAAAATAAAAGGCACATTTTTCATTCTCACCAACCACTTTATTGATTTGGATGTTTTGAGTATGTCAATCATCTCCTGCATGGTAGAATGCTGACTTGATGTCTTGATTTGATCACTATCAACTTCAACTGGTCTACCCGACTATGGAGTGTCATCCAGCAAATCTCCAGCATGAAACTTCGCAAAACACTTTTGACCACGTTTGATCAGTCACAGAAACTTCTCCATACACTGCACAATTCTTTTTTGTGTGTTTCAGTTGTGTTCTTACCCTTCTTGAAATAGTAAAACATAACATGCCAAAGATGTTGCATGTTTTCTTCCATCTTCAATATAAAAATGGCTGCACAAAAATTCACTAATCTCGGTACCTTTTTTAAATGCGCACTGACATGACAGCTATCACAAAACATCTAACAAAAGTGTTTCAAATGAAGTGAAAGAAAACTAAGCGCTACTACAGCCATCTTACAGGAAAAAAACCAACAAACTTTTTGGCCAACCCAGTAGAAACCAGAGACCAACAAGTAGCCAAGGACTGGATCCCACCAGGCCAGAGATCTTACTCTCTGCAAACAGACAAGGGGGCTAAATTCTAGAATCACAGGTGCTATGAGCCCTTCCCAGAGATTTCATGAAAGGCTGGGAACTTGTTTTGCAGAAATAAAAAACCCCAAAAAGTTGCTAAGATGCTTGGGCAAGCCATGCGATGATACAGAGGCTATACCAGAGCTCTATTACATGTTTTTAAGGTAACATATATATACGTGAGAAGATCAAAATAACCTACAAACCTACCCTTTATGTTCTCTTAGCCAGGTGCACTCCCCTCCCCCACCTCCACACACAATCTACAATCAGAGCAAATATATGAGTGATCCCAATAAATATAAATGGACGAAATTGATCAGTTAAAAAAATTAATTCTTGCTATATACTTTCTACAACACTCACTAACAAAACTACAAAAGGATTGGCAGTGGGAAAAAAATCCCGGCAAATGCTAACAAAAAAGAAAAAAATATGGTTTTAACATTAGATAAAAGCAACTTTATGAAATGTAAAATGAAAAGTTTTATGTGTCAAATTTTATAGTTTATCTTATAAAACTATCTTTTTGTTCCTTTTTAAATGTCTGTAAAAACATTCTAAATATACATATAAACATCGTATGTACTCTACTCATCAATAACTAAGCCAGTGTCTTAACTGGTTATTCAGAGATGGACCACACTCTCTTCTCCAAACGGCTCTCTCTGCAGCCCAGAGCATCCACACAGAATCCATCCGCACTGCCCACGGCTGGGCACTGCGCATACACAATGATAAAACCACCTTTCCTGGCCTTGATGTGACAGTGCACGTTGTAATCATTTGCCTGATCTAATAAAAAATTTTAAATTCTTCCTTAATTGCTTGTTTATCCAAGTACTAAATGCCAAGTTATATGTGATCAGGGCAATCATTTCTCTGATTACTATATTTAAATGTAAAACACTTTAACAGTGCGTGACAGCCATGACTAACTTCTACCTAAAGTGCACATTAACCCATGGAACAAAATTCATCTCTTGACCTGCACTTATTACAGGTTCTGTGCTAAGACCTTGTCTCAGTGATTGCTGACATCCATGTATTATAATTACCCTATTAAATTGGACGTTATAAGGCTAAGGCTCTCAGGTGGCTACCAGGAAATATGTATGACTCTGTCGACCTTTAGTACCAACATACTGCAAACCACAGATCCCTTACTCTCAATTCCCAGTTGCAAATTCATAAATCTCAGCCCTTGATTAAACTTCTCATCATATTAAGAAAATAGTAGAAGGAAACCATATGAAACTTATACTACCTGGAGAGGAAAAAAGCCAGTTATTTAATATAATACATAATTACAAAAATTTTAAAAAGCAGTTAATAAACTTTGACCAGAAATTACTGCATCCAAGTGACCAATCCAGCTTCAGTTGTTAAAAAAAATAATCCTGAAGTTGGCATTCTATCGTGCGACACAAAAAATAAAATACAACTAAGAAACTGGGATGTAAAAGGTTATTCAATTTCCCTCAGCACCCTCATATCTCAATGCGCACGAGACATAATATTCAAGGGGCTCAAGGAGTATTCCTAAGCTCCTTGAATATTAAGTTCCAAACATGACACCCTGACCTACAATCACAGCTGAGGAAAGACAAACGGGGGGACTCATTTCTGCAGATTGGGAATACTTGAAGGATATGTTTAATTGCACTGCAACAGTGTTAAATCTAGCTGGATTTAGACCATTTTACACATAAAAATCAGATAAGGTTTTATGACATTCATGGTTATGTACATTTCCAAACCTTTAACCTAAATAACAGTTTGAAATTCAGTGAAATGATATAATCACATATAGCAGGGGTGTCCTTTTTCTTGAAGGGTCCGAGTAAATACTGTCGGCTTTGGGCCACATGGTCTATCACAACTACTGGACTTTACCATTGTAGAATGAAAACAATCATAGACAATAGGTGATGAATGAACGTGGCTGTGTGCCAATAAAACTTTATTTACAAAAACAGGTGGCCAGCCCTCTAGCTACAGTTCGCTGATCTCTGACATACAGAACACTTGCAGGCTTAGATAATCTTTGCTCTGTAGAGAGGTTATGACAATGGAAATATAAGATGAAGTAAAACCACGTAAGCATGATTCAGCTTTGATAGAGATTAATCACTGATCTATGAAAATATAACTCTGACACAGCAGTTACTAGTCCTGTTTAATATATGGCTTTCTACACAGAGATGTTTTCACTGGGGACCCCTTGTGAGAGTAGTCGTGTGGCTTAAGAAGTGAAACTATAAAAGTATTTACAATGTTTATTTCCATTTATGTTGTAGACCGCTCTGCCTGGTTCTAGGAATTGTATCTCAACCCCTTGTGGCTAAGGGCGAGAGATGACCTTTGGAATGCGAGCCGCAGGAGACAAACCTTGTCTCTGGTAGCAAATGCGCCTCAGTTCCTCTCCCTGCCCCCAGAGCTTGGTTGGAAGTCAATGATGGGTAAGACCCCTCACAAAGGGGGGGGGCAACCTAAGCCAGACTCGATCACTTGGGAGGCCTTCATGGAAGGACTGGGGGGGAGCTGCAACAAAGAGCAATGGACTCTCACCCCCCAACCCCCACCCCGGGGCTTTGACAGAGCCCGAGTCCCCATGTTCTCTGGGAGAAGTGCTTCCTGGCTCTACTGCCCTTAAGCCTGAATATCTGATGGGGAAGGGTACAGCTCCTTGTCTTGCTAGAGCGTGTCCAGGGGAAAAATCTGGCATCACAAAGACTTCCTGATAAACCTCTGAAATCTGCTCTTAAGAGTGCTTTCATTCATATGTTAAGGGTTCAACCAGGAAACCCTAAAACTCTGTTCCTGACAGACTTGGACTCATACTAAGCCCTCAAATTTCTTTGAAATGTTATCTACTGTTTGATCCTTGCCACCCTGTATTCCTGTGTATTAGAGCCCAATAAAAGGCCCTGGAGGAGCAGGTCCGAGGCTTTTTTCTCCTTGGAGAAACTGGCTGCTGTGGGCCTTTTTCCCCTGAGAAACTGGCCACTGCTCATGGCCTTTTTCCTCTGGAAAAATGGCCACTTCTCCTCCCTAAGCAGATCACACCATGTCTCAGTCATATTTACTTTTATCCGTGGCACCCGGGGGGACTTGCTAAGAAAGTTGCCCCCACACATTTAGAAGTTATATTCTTACTCTTAAAAAACTCTCTGTAAAAAAACAGGTATATTTAAGATGACTTACCCATATATTGCCAGAGATGGTAAAAAGGCCAGCCATTCCAGACATCCTAAAAAAGAGGAGACCCACTGGTGATGTATACTATGTGAAAACAAAACTGCGGACACAAGGATCTTCCTTCCACATTTTGCAATGCAGTGTCCCCTCTCCCGGATTCACTGGAGCTCGTACAGAGCTTCAACTCCCTGGCCATCACTTCAGCCACTGCTGTAAATACAGTCACATCCCCTGGCCCTCTCTCCCTCCACTGTACATACTTGGCAAAAACCCCCACTGTGGGCAACTGTGTGTTCCTAAGGAAAAATCAGGGGGCCAGCTAAGTGTTCTCCCTTCATTTCCCTTCATAATCACAAACGTCAGTGAGCACTCCGTACGGCATTTTTCAGGCTCACGTTTTTCCTTCTCTTCACACCCTCACACACCCTCCTCTCCCCCTGCCGTCTCAGCGAACACTCCTCATGTGTCACTGTGAAATCAGAGGCCAGTATGTGATCTCTCTTATCTTCCCAACACCAAATCTGAGCCTGGTGCACACCTGCACCCCCTTCTCCTGTTCCGACACAGAAAGTCCATCTGCCCTCCCCCTGTCTAATTCCTCCACTTGTGCCTTGGACCTCACCTCTTTGGCTCATTAGTGACTTGGTTCTTTTTGTCACTCCCTCTGCCTGCATTAGCAATTTCTTTCTTTCTACTGGATCATTTTCATTGGCATGAAAACATGTTCTATCCTCTCTCACTTTTTAAAAAGAGTCTCACGGGCCTCACATGGCCCTCCAGCTTCACAAACTTCTCCCTGGAGTAGTCCTCACTCGCTGTTCCTTCTTCCTTATCTTTAATCCATTCAAATCTGCTTCCGTCTGCACTACTGCAATATCACTGCCTGTCAAAGCCACAACAACCTTGTATTACTTCATTCAATGTCCATGTCTCACACTTGATGTTCTTTCACCTCTTGGTAACATGGGACACAGTAACTACTCCTCATTCTGAAGCACCCTAATTTACTGGCTTCTAGGAAATCACATAATCCTGCTTGTTCTCTTGACCCACTGGTACCCATTTTCACTTCCCTGACTTCTTTTGCTGACTCTTTCTCTACCCAAATTCTTGATTTTGGAGTGCCTGTGGCTAGGTCCCAGGAACTTTTCGCTTTTTCTCTCTCTCTAAGTAAGCTCCTCCCTTCCAAGGCTTCAAATGCCATCAACATATTCTGTGTTTGTGTTCCTCAGTTCTCCATGGAGACCCATCTCCATGCAACCAAGCTGACAACTCTGCAAAGAAGTCTGCATCTCAAACTTAACGTATTTAACACTGAACTTGGTTCTTTCTTGCTCGAATCAGTAACTGGTACCAGGAACCACCAAGTATTCAAACCAGAAACCAAAATATTTTTTGTGAATCTCCCCTCTCCGTCATCTTAGCCAGGTCTCCCTTCAAAACATGTACTAAAACCACCCACTCTCTCCACCCCACTGTTGCCACCCTGGTGTGCACTGGCACTGTCCCAAGGCTCGACACAGCCTTCTCACCGTCTGACCTCGTCTGCGCTTGGCCTCCCCAGTCTCTTCTTCTAAGAGCCACACTGTCACTGCATGCACTGCATGTCACTGCATCCAAGTTCCTCAGTGTGGTCAGAGGTCTGTATGACCTGGCTTCTTTCTGCCTGATCTTTTCCACCTTTTATACCATTCACTGTCTTCACCCCAGCTGAGCTTCTGCTCAACACACCAAGCTCTCTGCATGTTTTGACCTATATACATGTAATCCACGTTCCTAGAAATATTCCCGCCCTGCTCTTCACCTGACTAGGATGTTCTATCCCGAGTCCTCCCTCCAGAGTGATCTCTCCTAGCCCCTCATCCAGTGGAGGTCCATGCCCACAGTGATTCCCTGTCTTATTAAAGGTTTTTGTTTGGTATTTTTTAAACAGCCTATGATTCTTTATATCCCTAGTTTTTTTACTTAGTCTGCCTTACTTTAAGTTACCTGAGGAGAGCAGAGGGACCATGTCTGTCTTGTTCACTTTTGAATTATCTACCACCTAGAACAAAGCCATTTTTTATGGCATAAAATCATTACTCAAATACTTGTATAATGGAAAGCTACTTTTAGACTAAGTCACGTATTTCCTGAGTGTTACATAAATGCTACTAGATGATTTATTCCTGAATTATTGCATAATTTGATCCTTTTTCAGTGGGGATATTCCTTACCCTTGTATATATAACTAATCAAATTAATTACAACTATGACAACTCATTCAGAGTGAAAATCAACTATGGAAAAAGTTGTTCTGGTTTGGCACATCTACCTCACCAATTATTACGCAGCTTGCCATCATGGCCATAAGTTACCTAGCAGTATTCTGCTAAGTACCAAAAGACACCGTAGGTTTGATCGTCCACATTTGATACCATTAATTGCTTCATAAACTATAATTCAGGAAAGAGTCATTTCCATATCTTATTGATCATTTAAAAGGAAAGAATTGGTGACTTGGTAAATGTGTTCAATACCATATTTTATAAAGGGAAAACAGCTGGCATGGCTTAGTGTAGAAGTTACGGGAGGCTTTGTGTGACCCACTTGAATGCGGATACTACTTCCAGTACAGTAACAAGCAGCTGACACAAATGTGGGTGATAAAACCAGAAACAGAACATGGTCTAACCATGGTCATGGGTAGTCTGGGTAACCAGAAGTGAATACGAAGAAAAATGTAGACTTTTAAGGTCCATGAACTGTTTACTTGATACTGCCTGTTTTATTAATAATACCTTTTCATTAAAAAAAAAATTACAAGTTACGTTAGAGAAGCAGGGGATTTCCAGCCAGTCAGAGGCTCAACTGATTGCCATTTCTTTTGTATGATATAATTCTGCAGGTCTTCATAGACTCCTGGGCCACGGTAGCGACGGAATATCCCATCCTTTGCACTATTAATTAAAAAAAAAAGCCCATTAAAATAACCAGTGTTACAGATAATAAAAATCAAAATAATTATTGGTTTTACATGCAAACTACACTCTGAATTTTAACTTGGCTCAAATGAAGAAAAAATTATACTTAGGCATAAATCAGAAAGCATGTGTAAATATTAATCTATTACAGATGAGAAAATCTAAAACATAAAGCATTACACATTCTATTTTATCACTGAAAAATTTTTGATTACTAGCAAAGTTCCCACCAAGTAACTTTTTATTATTTTTGCTACCAAGCTTTTAATTTTTCTCTTACAACAGCAAAATAGCCGTTGTTATCGGGTTTAAAAAATGTATGTCCCCTGAAAATTAAGAAAACCCCTCCTATTTCCACATACTCCTGCCTTCCCTCACTTCTGCTTTCTCCTCACGGTCAAACTTCCTAAGGGAAGAGTCTACACTTGCCACTTTCTCCTCAGATATCACTCAGTCACAACTCGCACAACCTGGGGTTCTGCTTCCACAGCTCCACGGGGAGGTTTCCGACGACTCTGAAGTGCCATCACACCCACGAAGCCCTTTTCTGCCTTTTTCCTTTATCTGTCACTGGCACTGCCCTCTACTAACCACCCCTTCCTCCCTCTTCTCTGTTGGCTTTGATGAGCCCTCTGGACTTCCTCCACTCTGAGCATCAGTTCCGTCCCAGTTCCTTACTCCCTGTCCTAGGCTCGGTCAACCCCAAGTTCTAGCCGTGGCCTCCTTCTATTTCCACTGTGTGTTTTCTAACTATATTCCACCTCTTAGCTATCTCAATGCTGGGGAATTCCCAGTATGTATCTCCAGTCTACATCCTTCTTCTGAGCTTTAGATCCTCAAACCAAACTATCATCTAAACATCTCTATTTCAAATTAACAGACACTTCACACGATCTTCTCCTTGTTGGCCTCTGTCTTCCAAACTTCATTTTATTCTAGTAGCTTTTACTCATTATACATGGTCTGTGGGCTGTCATCACGGATTTTTCCTTCTTTATGGCTAATCAGTCACTAAGTGCCAGTGATCCCACCTCCTAAGCATCCCCAGAACCCATCTCTTCCTCTCTTTCCCCTCTCCCTACCTGAGCCTTCTAGCCTCATTACCCAGGATGATCCAAGCCTTTGGGCCAGCCTTACAGAACTAGTTACAGTTCTCATAAGGTAGCTCATTTTCCACAGGATGCTTCCATGATATCTCCTCTCTCTGGAAAGGCCTTGCCCCCCTTGTCTATTTAACCGGTTTCTCCTTATCTATTAAGAATCATCCCACCTTTTATGTCATCAGAAAAGTCTTCACTGACCCCCTCCCCCAACTTCCCTGCCCAAACTTAGGTTCTTCTCCCTGAAGCACTCTGGGCAACCCTCTCCTCTAACAGCTGTCATTCCTGCAGAGCTGGCCTTCCAATGGGAGGCTGAATGTGTGATGGTTATGGAAAACAACTTAGATTCCTGGTATATGCCGACTGACTTTTAATATTTACCGGGCCAGAAAATTATTTAGACTTACTGGAAAAATGCTGGAAGCGTGGTGACGAAGAAGCGGCCACTTAAACCTACGAGAAGCAGAAACAAAAAAAAGTTACAAGTCAAACTCAGACTAACCCAAGCACCCAACCTCAGTTATAAGAGCAAGCAGCCTTGAGCTTGCTTTTGTAACCACATTATTAAATCATATATACTGTTTACTTGTTTGACTTAAAGAAAATTTATTTTTACCCATTTTTATTACCTAACACTTTTCCGCCACTGACATACCACTTGCTTATCTGTGATGTGTCATGTGAGTTTTCTGCTTTGGGCCATCACTTGGAATTGTCCGGTGGCTGACATGACAGGTTAGAGTCATTCAACCTGGGTTAAAGCCCAAATTCTCCACTTACTAACTGTATGACCTTAGATACATCACTTAACTTCTGAGTTTGTTTCCTCACCTCTAAAATGGGTATATTAAAGCCTAACTGAACTGTTTTGAAGTTAATTGGTTCAGTATGTTAAGTGCTTTAGCACATGGTAAAAAACTCAATAAATTATAGGTACTATTACATTAGATGTAGGCTTAAAATCATAATAATGAAGAATGTAAAATAAGATCATATATAATCTTTGCACATTTAGAAAATCTGCAAGTACTGTCAAGGGACTCTATATACACTGAACAGATTTTTTCAATTTCTCTGAGGAAACCTTTACTGGACACTACCAACATCAGATGCCATGCTAAGTACATCTGAAGACAAAGACAAATAAAACCCTTAATCACTCAGCAAATATTCACGAGTTATCTTCTTTGTTCAGGGACAATCATACGTGTCCAAGGCACAGAGACAAGTAAAAACACGCACTCTTTGTTCCCACAGGGCTTACTGTCTAGTGAGTGGCAGAGGAAGAAACCTTAATACTTAAAATCATAACTATAAACAGATAGATGATATGAGGGAAAGGGGTATGCAACAAAACCTGAACGGGACTAGGAGTGAGGAACAAATCCCTGGCTCTTGTAGAGTTTACAAATAAATAATATTCACGTGGGCACAAGTGACTGGTGACTGAGGACTGCTAACAAGCACTGTCTGCAGGGCATCTCCACCCCTCCCACTGTCTGGAATTCTGCCCTAGCAGTGAACAAGGGCATCTCTCTTCGTGTATTTCCAACTCTGAACTGCTGGAGGAAAAAGGTGTTGTCAGCGGGGTGACAGCTCCTGAAACCAGGCAGGATGGTTCCCAAAAGTAATCCTAAGGGCTTAAAATTTATCATCGGCTTTTGCTTACAATAATTATTATAAACAATTTCATCCCTTACTTCTTTAGTAGCTAGTGACTCTTATAACCACCCAAAAATTTTATCTAAGGAGAGTAGCAATGCTAACAAATTATCCTTTATATATATATATGACTTTTAAAGTGGAATAAACACTTCAACTTTCTATTTAGGTTTTATTTTTATCGGAAATATATACATACAAATTCTAATAAATGTTATCACTAAGACAACATTTTTAAGTAGTTCTTTAAACTTCTTCATATGTTCTTGGTCATCACAATAACTTAAAAAGTAAACAATAAATATGAAACATACTATTTTGGGTTGACCAAAAAGTCAGTATGTTTTTTTTTTTTGTAAAATAAAAGACATGTTTTTCATTCACCAATAATTTAATTGATTTGGATATTTTGAGTATGTCAGCTATCTTTTGCATGGCTTATAAACACATCAATTGTTCTCAATCAATGTCTCGGTTTGATTGCTACCAACTTCAACTGGTCTACCCAACCAATGAGCATTGTCCAGGCAGAAGTCTCCAGTGTGAAGCTTTGTAAGCCACTCTTGACATGTTTGATCAGCCATAGCACCTTCTCCATACACTGCACAAATCTTTCTTAGCATTTCAGTTGCATTTTTACCTTTCTTGAAATAATAAAGTATAATATGCTGAAAATATTGCGTATTTTCTTCCATCTTTAATATTAAAATGGCTATACAAAAATTCGCCAATTTTGGTAAGACTTTTGTTTAACGCACACTGATATGACAGCTGTTACAATACAATCTAACAAAATGGTTTCGAATGAAGCTAGGAAGGACAACTAAGTGCTACTAGAACCATGTCATGGAAAAAAACCGAACAAACTTTTTGGCCAACCCAATACAATATGCAACAGTATTTCCAGTGTCACAGGCCAGCTCCCCTGGGGTCAAACCCCACTTCTGCCTTGTATTCATTTTTAACCAGACAGGTTAAATTTATACTCTCTGGTCTTTGGTTTTATTATAAATAGGCATCACAATTTCTCATAGTATTTTTCTATTAAGTAATTACATTTATAATCACATAGACAACAGTATGTGATATGTAATAAGTACTAAATAAATGCTAGCAATTATATGCCATACTAAAAATACCTGATTCAAAGTTGGAGTAATGTGAGAGGAATATAATAAACACGAGCTAACTTATTTTACGTGCACTAAAAATTCTACAGTATCTTTAAATGTGCTCATGGAAATCAATGAGTACGAAGAAAATTAGAAAAAGGGACCCAGTGACAGATGGTCTCTGCAATTTTTCTGATTCAGATTGGAAGGTATGACAGAATGCTCGTTCCAAAAATTCCTAGGTTAGAGGGTATAAGAATTGTATAGCTCTTGATATGAATTGCTGAGTGGTTTTCAGTAACAACTGTACCAATACACAACTGGTAATTAACGTTCATTTAAAACAATAACCATTATTAATAAACTGTTATACCTCAAGATTGCTTTCATTTAAGTTTGTTAATATTTCCTCAACTGACAACCCATGTGGAATAGCAACAAGATTACGGCATCTAATTCAGGTAAGAATTCTGTTTGTTATCTGGAATAATATACTGACACTGAGAATGTATTTAGTAAAATCAGCAACAACAAAATCAAGAGCAACCAAAGCCATCCTTAGATTATGACAACTACTAAGCCCTTCAAGATCCAACACCACAGAGAATTCATCTCAGACAAATGTCACTTCTAAGAGATTGAGAGATCAGAACATATCAGTGTTCCAAAAATGTCTCCTAACTTTTAACACCAATGTTATAAAGTCTCAAGGGAGACATTCATTACCTGAAAATATGATTAACTTAAAACAAGGAAGCACCATCTCAGGCTGTGGCTTCAGGGCTTGAAAACCAGTTAAGTGTGGATCTTAACGAAGAATTGCAGCAGCCCAGCATGGTGGCAGTGCATTTTAGATCTGCGGAACGGCTCACTGCAGCAAACTTCAGTAAGAGTGGAGGAGAAAAGCACACTCTTAAACCTTCAAGTAAGAGAGACGAAGTTTGACCACAAGGTCTCCCAAAATTTCTACACGCCTTTTTCACTTTAAGGGTTAACTACCACTTAAAAATAAAGACTATATTGCAACATGAAAGAGTCATGAATCCAAAGTGCAGAAAATTTTCTTATTAGCAAGTTTATCTTAAACATACGTAGCTTAAGAAAAAAGAATTAAAAGATGGGAGAAAGGAAAATTAGGACAGAGACCTATATTTTGATATGAAAAACAATGGAAATGACTTAAGTTCCATATTAAGAAAATGGTGAGAACTATTAGCTTTTGTTCTACCATTTATCAGCCATATTACCTTGGACGTACGACCTAACCTCTCTCTGAGCCTCAGTTTTCTGAGTATAGAGAGAAGTTTGCTCTTTCTAAGGATGTTACATACCTGAAACATATATAAGTGGTGACATAAATATTATCACCAAAGAGAGAAGCAGAAGGAAAACAATGAATAAAAAGTAGAGTGAACCTCATCTTTGAGATTGAAATAAAGTTGTCAACAGAATAAATGCAAAAGACTAATTTTTATAATTACAAAATTAAAATATTAACACTAACTGAAGTACAGTAAACTAAATTGGCTTTTGTCATTAATTGTGGGGGAGACTTCTTCGAGAGTCCCCCCGAGTGCCACGGACACAAGTGAATGTGGCCAAGACATGCTGTGATCTGCTTGGGGAGGAGAAGTGGGCTGTGGCCAGTTTCTCAGGGGAAACAAAGGCCAGCAGCGGCCAGTTCCTCCGAGGAGAAAAAGGCCCCGAGCTCCCTGCTCCATAGCCTTTTATTGGGTTGTAATACACAGGAGTACAGGGCGGCAAGGATCAAACAGTAGATAACATTTCAAAGAAATCTGAGGGCTTCAGAGTCTGAGTCAGTGTCTGTCAAGAAGAGAGTTGCAGAAACTTTGGGACACAAACTCATTTCCTGTGGGACCCTTATCATATGAATGAAAGCACTCTTAGCAGAGCAGATTTCACAGGTTTTTCAGGAAGTCTTTGTGATGCTGGATTTTCCCCCCGAGACACGGGACACTCTCTAGCAAAGCAAGGAGCTGCACCTCTCCCCATCAGGTATTCAGGCTTAAGGGGATTAGAGCCAGGAAGTGCTTCTCCCAGAGAACATGGGGTCTCAGGCTTTGTCAAAGAGGGGGCCAGAGTCCATTGCTCCCTATTACAGCCCCCGAGTCCTTCCATGAAGGCCTCCCAAGTAATCCAGTCTGGCTTAGGTTGCCTCCCACTGTGAGGGGTCTTACCTGTCATTGACTTCCCAACAAGCTTTGGCGGCAGGGAGAGGAAACTGAGGCAGCATTTGCTACCAGAGACAAGCTTTGTCTCCTGCAGCTGGCACTCCAAAGGTCATCCCTCACCCTTAGCCACAAGGGGTCGAGATACAATTCCTAAAACCAGGCAGAGCGGTCTACAACAATTAATTAATGGTTTTAAACACAAAGCTTACTCTTGGCCATGGTAGGGGTCTGGTTCACCTCTAATCTAGTCAGCAGCTACTGTTTTCCTGTCCATGACATCTATGTTCGTCTGAATGGAATGGAAGGTTCAAGTACATATGCAGTAAATTTAATGTCCCCAAGTCAACTTAAACTGACACATCACCTGATTTATGCAGTATTAAACAGGCAATGCAATGTCACCTAATCTAAGGTCTGTTCTCCCTTCAATCACTACATCTCGGCTGTGAACATGCAATGTGTTCACAATCTTCAATCTTTATAATTCCGAAATCCTAAAAAATTTCTTATTAAATATACTAATAGAATAGTTACAGGAATAACTAAAGAACTATGTATGAACACTTTGAAAATGCTTGCTTTCCTTCTTTTTAAATTTTACTTGCAAGGAAAAGACATGAAATTGTCTCTGACCAGCACTCCTGTGACAAGGCAGCCTGATGGAAGAATACACTAACAGAGATCTGTAACCAAACATACGTCTGCACACAGAACACCCAGTGAAGTGTCAACTGTGAGCAAAACTAGGAACATTTCAATGGCTTCCCGGTGCTCGTTTGGGATGTCAGATTCTATCGGAATGAAGTAGATAATACTCAAATAGCTTCCCTGAAAACTTGTTAGTAAATCAGTACCTCATAAGTCACTCTTCACTTGGCCTCCAGGACCCTCTACTTCTCTGTCTCCCTCCCACTTTTCTTTGGCTTGAGCTTCCTTTCTTCTTAATGTTGGGAGTCCCTGATTCTCAATCCTCAAAACACTTCTTGGCACACACTCCCTAGGTAATTTCAATTCTTCCCATCATTTCAAACACTGTATATACTGATGATCCTCCAATGTGTATGTACCTCTAGCTCATTTGTACTTGGATTTCTATGAAATATCCCAAACTTAAATCTGTCCCAAACCTGCTCTTCCTTCAATCTCCCATCTCTTTCTTTTTTTTTTAACCATTGTTTGTGCTATTAGTTTCCTCGATTTTTCCCCCTTTGCCCTCCCCTGCCCATCCCACTCCTCCATCTCTCCTTCCACTAACTGCTACAATAATTAATCTATCAAAAGAGACCTTTGGATATTCTAGACAAATGCAGTCTCTCAAATCCAGCCACTTAGCACAGCTGCTGCTAGTCCACGCCACCACCTTCTCCACTCTGGACACCTGTAGTAACATCTTAACATCTCTTCTTGCTTTAACTTCTGTCCTATAGACAATTTTTCACATAGCAGCCAAAGAAATTCTGTTAAAACATAAATCATGTCATGTCACTCCCCTGCTCAACACCTTCCACTAGTTTTCTTCTTACCACCTTTAGTATAAAATTGAAACTACTTGCCATGGCCAACAAGACCCTACAGGGTCTGGTCCCTTGCTACCTCTACAGCCCCATTTACCTGGAGCGTCCCACTGGCTGCCATACTGTTCCTCTGCGAAGCCAAGTACCCACCCACCTGCGCATGCTCTCTGCTCTGTCTGGAACGCTCCTTCCTGAGAGCTTGTTGAAATTCACTCCCGCAATCTGTCAAGACCTCTGATCAAATAGTCTTTCCTGATCACCCTATTTAAAATTGTGGATCCCAGTATTTTCTACCTTTTTACCCTGCTTTCTTTTTCTTCATAATCCTTGCTACCAGCAGACATTATTTTCCATTTTTTCTTTGTTAATGTCAGTCTCCTTTAGTGAAATGTAAGTTCAATGAGGGGCCAAGTTTTGGCTCCTTCTTCCTTTGTACCATTAATCACCTGTTTCATCTGTATCACTGGTACCCAGAACAGGGCCTAGTACACGGTAGGAACTCAACTACTGTTGAATAAACACATTAACCAAAAGCACTAGGATTGCAAGTTAAACTTATAAATAAATAAACTTATAAATTTACAGCATAACTTGAAGTAAAATATTCTCTAGGCCGCCCAAACAATCAAGTGTGTAGAATTTTGTCTTCTAATTATTATTTATGAGTTATAATTTTTAAGTTTTTATCATTTAAAATAATTCTAGAGCCTCTACTTTAAGAAACTGTTTTAACACGCAAAACATTTTTTCCTTTTTGGACTTGGTTTTTTCACTGTTCATACAGAATACCAGATCAAAGACCTTTTTTTCTTCTCCTGTGATAAATATTTCAAATATATATGCATTGTTTATATTTACATAAATAGTCTGAGTCAAAGATGATTTTGTTTCTAAAATATACTCATCCTAAACAATTTGTTACCTCATTATCAAAAGAGAACAAATAAATTCAGAATAGAAAAAATAGCTGTAAGTCGACATTTTAGATGGAAAAACTATATTGCATTAGACTTTAGATTTGTGAATCCATCACAAAGCTGTTTAACTCTTTTCATTCAAATCCTTCTGTGAATTCACAAGAGATATACCAAATGGCTGCATTTTCAAAAAACTCCTCAAGAAATGTGTCTGGTGCCCACGAACAAACAAGGCTCACACCTGAGTCACTGAACTTAAATCACTAAAAGATGAAGAAAAGCATACAGCAAAAACGTAATTGCGATGATTTGACCTCTAAACAGAACTCATTATAATAGCCAAAACCATGGTCTAAGAACTATATTTTCCATCTCTAACTAGCAGATGGTTAGAAATGGCTTTGATTCCAATGTTTAAAAAGGTGGAGTCCTGAGGACTAACAGCTTTTAATAGAAACCTCTCTCCACATTGTCAAGACATTAATCTTAACAGACACTATCGATTTCATTGTCCAAGTAACTGGGAATTCAGTACTGGGTCTTTTTTGAACTCACAGTTATTACAGAAAGTTAATAGCTACACTTCCATACCTACCTTCTTTTTTTCCTTGTAAAGGAATATAATAGGTTGAAATAAAATGTAGATTTAAAAAATGCCTAATAAAATTCAAAAATAGTAAAATTGGAGATTGAAATCATAAAACCCCCAACTTTTCTCCTCCATTTATTTCTGGTACACAGTTATTTTAAAAATACAAAGATTCCTCTGTCTCCCTCCTCTTTTAAAAAATTACATCAACAGCTAATAGATGTCAATGAACAACATATTTAGGAGTTTATCATTCTGGAACCCGCAAGAAAACACTTCATTCAGGTAAGATCATTATGTATCATAAAACCCCCAAATTACCCCATAGGTTATTGCTAATCACAAAGTGGGATCTTTTCTTTACAACTGAGATGTTTAGTGTTTTCACCTTCACCAAGTGCTCAAACTCAACGCCACTAATGGTGACATGTGTCTTCTGACAGCATCGAATATAAAGTCACAGCATCACCTATGAAGTGCCCTTGCCATATAAATCAAGCCAAATCATGCCTCTAGGCTGAACTTCAAATTTACAGAAAATACGAAATATAAGGAAACACCTAAGCAAATATGTGGCTTATTCTCTTCAGAATATCAATGTCGTGAAAAAAACGAGGGACTATTCTAGACTGAGTACAATTAAAAACACATACCAACCAAATGTAAATGGTAAACCTCGATTGGATCTTGATTCTAAAACTATAAAAAGACATGTGTGAAATAACTGGGGAGATTTCAATATGCCCAAGTGCTGAAGGTAAAGTATCATGATGCCTGCAACTTATTTTCAAATGACTCCACAAAAGAAAAAAATAATAAAAATATAAATATATATGTGTAAGTCCACATACACACATATAGGCTCAGATATACCAAAATGTTATCTGTCGATTCTAGGTGGTCATTTCACGAGTGTCAATATATTCACCTTTTATATATTCTTGAAAAAAATGTGAAATCCAAAGTATGAAACTTTCGCCTTTGATGTTTGACATTTACAGTACCTGGTTCTTGAATGACATCTACCTTCCCCACACTGATATGAAGTAGTTCACCAATCTTTGCAAATGTTTCCCACTCTGCATCGGTCTGCTGGCAGGATGGACACCAAGGTGCGTAACTACAAAAGAAGAATGGCTAATCAATATAAACGTAAGAAAAACATCTATAAAACAATGGAAAAGCAGAATATTCAAATTTTAAAAAATGTCTAAAAGGAAGCAAGACAGCAAGTTTTCTCAAAATCATTTGATATAATATTTTATTTCAAAGTTATTATTACAATCAACCCAAATTTTGCCACTTTCTAGGTAGCTTTTGATTTTTCAGGGAGAAAGCTGAAATCATCACTGTTTTGACTGCCACACTAAAGGAGGGCAGTTTTCACAAGGGTATTCTTACACTAGACAGACCAGTTTCAGATCCATCGGCTACAGGTGTGACGAGGAGAGAACGGAAGATTTATTGCTAGTGAGTCCCCAGATATACGAGTCATTCATTTCCAAAGATGTGTGGCAGTGACTGTGGACAAGTAGAAGCTGAGGGCTAAACCAGCTCTAGCCACCACTTTCTTAAACAGAAGAGGAATTAGAAATAACTGGGCCTTTACCCAGAACCCTGGTTTTCACATTTATCTCTTCATTCAATAAACCTGAACTGCGTACAATGCTGGAAGCTGAGGTTACAACTGTGAATGAGATGTGGTACTCCTCTCCTTGTGGACACAATCCAGAGACGCACATTGGTTAAGACACTCAGGAACTGGGTGGTCTCAGAAGGGCCCATATAGAAAAAAGCATCTGAGCTAAGATCTAAAGTAGAAATTAGCCAGAGAGGGGTCAAAGAATGTTCTATTCCAAGTACAGAGAACAGTGTGTGTGGAGGCTCAGAGTGCTGAGACAAGAGGGTGAAGTCATCATCCATAGCCTTTAAAGGGTGGCATAAGGACTTAAGGCTTCATTTGAAGTACCATGGTAAAGCCTAAAAAGGAAGGGAATTATGTTCAGATTTATATTTTCAAAACACAACCAAGCAGCTTGTGAATAATGGATTAGGGAAGGGTAAGGTGGAAGCAAAAAGAACTGGAAATGCGACAGGAGACAGCATAGGAAGAACTTTGAGACTGCACTGCTGTTATTGGCCAGCGTCTAGCAGCACAGTTGCCAGGCAACGCCTTTTATCACTTAGGTAGAATAAATAGTAAACTGAGGCATAGAGGATGAAGGAGACATGTCTTACATGCTAACTCAGCAGTCCTGACCCTGGTCTGATAATATTGCCAGGTGTCCCAACATCACAAGAAACACTGTTAGCACTGGAGGAGGGAAGTCCTTGAAATTCTACGTAGCGTTTCCACTATCTGGGAAAGAAAGCCTTGAAACTGTGCTTTCATCCCAAGGCCTGGAATGTGGGAGAGGTTCAACAGCGGCCAAAGAAGCCCACAAGACAACTTTGGTTAATTGTCTACCTCTGGTCACTATCTGTTTTACGAGGGAGTCCCTGATGCTTACAGAAAGAGACCATAAGTAATTTTTCAAAGTGCCCCAATTTTAATGAACTGCCTACTGTCACATATTTGTTTTTACAACAAGATAACAAATGGAGTCTGGAGTAACATAAGGAGTCAGGCTAACAGACCCCACACATACCTAAGTCTGGGTAGTCACATTCCCCCAGGAAAGCTGACACCACATTTACCCTTTAATCAATATGTAACTTTTTTTTTCTCCTATCTCACCAACTATATAAGTCCTCAGAACAAAGAATAAAGGACACACTCTCTCTCTCTCTCTCTCTCTCTCAGGCTCAGGGTGTTCTTGGCTGTCAGGCCACAGGGCCTCTGGCCACCTGGCCTTAGGCCACCCAGTGGCTTGCCACCCTGGTCGTCAGCCGCTCTTACTTTTGCCGCCCTGCTTTGCCCTGAAACTTTGCCTTTCACCCCCAACCCTACCCAGTCCCATTTTCTTCCATGGGAATGTATCACTAATAAACTGACTACGTGCTAATAGATTTGCTGATCTGTAATTCTTTACACACGTCAGCAAGAAGAACCAGGTCTCTCCTGCCAACAGGAGGTGGGGCCATCCTCCTGGCAACATGCTAATGGCCTTACAATTCTTTTCCATGACCTTGAAAAATATCACAAATACTTGGACCACAAAGCTCTGAAGTGGTCTAGGTATTTCACCTGCAGATGTAAAACGGGAATCCAGAGAAGTCTGCTATTCAGCTAGTACAGGATCAAATACTATCCTCTAAAAAGATATGTCCAAGTCCTAAGCCTCAGTATCTGTGAATGAGGGACCTTATACATACAATTAAAGTGCCTGGGATGAGATCATCCTGAATTTAGGTTAGGCCATAAATCCAATGACTGGTGTCCTTATGAAAGAAAGAAAGAGGGGGACTGACACCGAGGCACAGAGGGAGGCCACTCGACGACAGAGACAAGGGCTGGTGTCAGGCAGCTACAATCCAGGGGACACCGAGGATTCCAGCAGGCTCCAGAAACGCGAAGAGGCAGCGAGCGGACACTCAGAGAGCCTTCAGAGGGGATCGTCTCTGCCAAAATACTGACCGTGGGTTTCTGGTCGCCAGAATTATGACAGAATACATTTCTTTCATTTTAAGCCACCAAGTTTGTGGTATTTAATTTGCAGTAGTTCAAGTCACCCAAGATCTAATTTGCTTAATTAAGCAAGTGATGAACTGGGCAGCATCCCACCATCCTACTAGAAGGGTGTCCTGAGGATCTGTAAGAAATGGAAGAGCTGTAATAGCAAAAAGGGTGGGTCAAGGATCTACTAACAAAAGGAGGAGGGGAGGGAGGAGAGGGGAGGAGAGGGAAGGGGGAGGGGGGGGGGGGGGAGGGGGGAGGGGGGGGGGGGGGGGGGGGGGGGGGGGGGGGGGGGAGGGGAGGGGAGGGGAGGGGGGGGGGGAGGGGAGGGGAGGGGAGGGGAGGGGAGGGGAGGGGAGGGGAGGGGAGGGGAGGGGAGGGGAGGGGAGGGGAGGAAAAAAGAAAAAACTATTTTTGAGCCAGGACACCTTTTCTCTGAGGGGAGAGCCCTGGAAGAGTTTTTATCATGCAGATTGCCCCTTCTTTGAAGTGGGGAAGGGCAGGTTAGTGGACAGATTACTGGGGCTTGACCAAAAAATTCCTGACTGGTTGATTAAGATTATGTTTCTGGGAGAGACTGAAACTGCAAATAGATCAGGTTTTAATCTAGGTTTGGCAGCATAGGCTTTTAGCACCAGTGATGCCATTTTGGGCCTGTGGTTTTCTTTTTAACATTTCCAAAGCACTTTTCTGACACATTAGCTCATCTGAACCTTACAACCTCACTGTCAGACAAGGCAGCTTTAAAGAGACTTGCTTAAGGTCACCTAAAACCATACAGCACAAGAACCCAGAGGGAGGTATTTATGTGATAAAAATCTCCAAATATCACAGGGTGCAGCCAAGAGGGGGGCCCAAATGGGGATTTGGAGTGGAGTCCAGAACTCAAGGTACCCAGGAAATATTAGAAAAATATATATGATGGTCCCCAACCAGTCTGAGCTAGGGGATGGGACACATGGAGTAGGGCCATTGAGAGCTATTCTGCACAGCAGTAGTTTTGCAGCTAACCTCTGGCATGGTCATTTAATGTATCTATAACCTCTAACTGGTTGCCTAGATATGTTAAATAGCTGTGGCCATGCTTTGAGCCAGGAGGATGGAAGTGACTTCCATCCAAAATGTAAGTGGGAGGCAACTCCCCCTGGTTACAGTGCCTGAGTGAGAGCTTGGAGATGACTGACTCCAGGCCATGGGGCCACTCCTGCCCATACTCACTATGGCAGCTCAGTAAAGCTGGAAGGATATGGGAATGCTGGCTGGTGCAACCGATTGTAGGAGGAGTAGAAAATGGGGCAGCAGAGAAAGACTGGCACGGGGATTTAAACGCAGGCACAGCAGCCATGCCAAGTGGGGACCATGCAGCTTTGGCGGAGTCAGGACCACGTGGCTTTGGGGTGCTCCCTTTTGCCACATGGCTTAGGAAGCAGGAGAGACTTTGCCTGGAAGAAACGGGGTGAAAAGACCCTTGGTGGTGGGCCACGAGAAGGGCCACATGTTTTTGGATTAAATGGAGATCCTGGAAGCGACACAACTGATGGTGCCGGGACCCTGGACCATGGACTTGTACTTCTTTTCCTGAGGTACAACGCCCCAGACTGGACAGAGGGAGAAGGCAGGACTGTGTGCCTCTGTGGGTATTCTAGAGGACTTCAGTGTTTTAGTGAAGGCATGAAGTCATTACTCTTAAGTCTGTATAACTTTTCAATAAACAATTCCTTTCCTTTTCACCAATCTCTGGTATTGAGAGATGTCTCTCCCTGGTGGTGGGCAAGGCGAACCTACTAGGCAGGGGGCGGCTCCAGAGAAGAAAGCGGGGTCCTTTTGGTAACAGTGTATCATTCACTGCCCCCATCTGTTCTACAACACAAGGAAAATAATACCTAATATCAACAGAGGGAGAGAAAGTGGGAACAGGGAACAGGAAGAGGGAGAGAAATAGGAAGTAGAAAAAAAGAACGAATAAAAAATTATCAAAAAATTAGGAAGAAATCTTAGAAGTATAATTCAGTGAACTCTAGACCTTCTTTGCTTTGTTTCCCTAAACCTGTTTTTGATAGAACTCAGGGACCCACGTGCTACCTCAGTAATTATTAAATCTTGCAAATCCCACCATTTAAAAAGAATCCCAGTCTGTAATTTCTAGACTATTATATAAATTATAATATAATTTAGACAGGCTATTATATAAATTGGGGTTTGGGTTTTTGTGTGTGTGTGTGTGTATGTGATATTGGCCCTCAGATATACAAACACCACTGAGGTAATTTTAAATATTCCATTTTCTATGTAGCTGCTAGCCACTCATCTGTAGCATTGTTAATGCCATTCTCTCTGAGATTTAATCACAGCTTATTATATCAGAATGCATCAATATCATTGATTCACCTAGTGTTCTCTTTTGGTGGTGATAAACCAGCTCCAAGTCTCAGGTGTGGGAATTGGTCCTTTGTTGTTGAAGCTTTTTAAATTAGAGTGGAACCTCAGTTCTGGAATTTAATTCG